ACAAACACCATGACGAATAACTCGATAGTCATTACTCGGAGTTTGAACTAAATAGTCGTAGAGAATTCGATTCGCTATTGAATACGTCACAAGAGTATGAATTAAGCCTACCAGATTCAAAAAATGTATTATATGTATGAAGTTTGTGAAGATTATAACCTTATCTCAGAGAGCAATTCCAAGAATCTTTCTGTTCCATCAACAACAGGAGGCATACCAGGAGTGTTCTGCAGCCATCCAATATCTTCCGACGAACCGATCAAGGTTTTTCGAATTCTAAATATTACACTGTACCAAATAAAAAATCAGTCAGTTATCTTTAAACGTGAAGATCGATCCGAGTTCAAAGAAATTAAATAACACAAAGTATATAGATTCGAACGTCGGTCCATGAGAAAAGAGCATACGTTCAAGAATATGTTTTCTTACTTTGAAAGGCGGAGTTCGACCCATTGAATGCACGAGAAACAATCTCTCAAGAAGCATAATGCTAATTTTTGAACAAACTGTAAACCGTATAATGGGAGCATCAACCTACACCAAAAAAAAAAAAATGGCCGGACTGAATATAGTTGAACAAGAAGTTCTAAGCTTATTTCACAGAATAACAGAAAAAACTTTGAAATTTGATCTTCTAGGTTCAATGAGACTACTTTATAGGACTTTCTAGCAAAAAGAACATGTCAATTACCCTTGAAAAATGGGAGAAGCAACCTCGTAACTATAAATACTTTCTACATCTGATGTTCTATCTACGAGCAAACCGTTCCTTGAATCCGAGGCACCGGCAAAGCAAGGTATGAAGGATGATGAACCTTCCGAGACAGATCTCTGCCTGTTCTGACCAGAAGGATTCAAACAAGCTCCTAGCGGAATGATGATATGGTCGGTGAGAAGTCTGTCGACATCTCGGGCTACAAGATCCTCTGGCACAAGCAACACCAAAACAATTAAAGTACAACAGTTATAGGAATGTATTGTCCATCTTTACTATAAGGATGCAATCAAGGAAGGCAGAGAAATAAGAAACTAAGTGATACTACATGCGCGAATTAACAAACCGTACCGATAAATCCAACGAAGTGACGAGTTATGTAACTAGCCAATGCCAAGAGATGAGTACAAATGTCATCCAATGGTGATACAATACTGAAGAGTTGAGGAGTATCACCATGTGCCTGAGATGAATAGCAGCAATATGAGATCTGGAAGGCCAGGCTTGATATGTTCTAAAGAAAATCGAGCACATTATACAAACTCGAAACTGATTTGCAAAATTAGCACTCACCGCGGAAGCAATCTCATACAATTCATTCTGAGTGTGTACATCTCCCATCCAATCTTCAATTTCTGCGATTATAGCTTATAATTTCACAATATGATGAGTAGAAGCAGAAGAATTCGGCAACATTTAGCATACAATATGAGAGTAGCAATTAAGTATCCGATCATTTCAATGTTGATATCTCCATCATATAGTAAAAAAATATCAACCAAATACTGCTAATGCGCACATAACACTTAACATTTCCATAAAATCGAGAACTCCTAGATTTATTTTGGCTTTGATTCATGATCCTTCTCGAAAATAAGAACATCCAAGAGAAATAAACAGCAAATTTCCAAAAACAACATTCAAAAGCCAACAAATAAGAATCGAGTGCATACAAACAAAGCAATAAAAATCTCGTGAGAAGCAGAAACGAAGAACCAAAACTATAAGGTTTCAGAAGGGAAGTACTTACAAGAGAAGCGATTCTGGATATCGATTGAAGAGAACGGAGTGAGAACATTCTTCGGAGACGAAATCGATCCAAAAACTTAAATAGAGAGAGCGAGAGAGCTGCATTTTTCGGCAATGATGAACCGAAAACGAAAGAACACGCAAAGAGAAGGGGAAAAAAGAGCATTGGAACTGATAAAAAGTGAGAGAAAATTAAAAAAAACAAAAAAAAACAAAAAAAAACAAACCGATATAAAGAGAAGAGTCATGTGGAAGGAATGAAGCATTGGATGATCTTTATCCAGTAGCTTTAATTTCGAATCATCGTTGGCCCACCAAACGTCGCATCGAAGGCACTCAATGGCTCGTGGGCATCTCCAATTCGCATAAATTTCCAGTTTTTTTGGACGAATTTGCAAATTATGGAGATGGGTTCTTGATCAGAAAAGTGCTTTATTTATTTTATTATTATTATTTAGAAATTTAGGTTTGATTGTTTTTCATAGTCGATTATTTCAGTACTCTCCACAGTCAGAGTTCATGAGCTCACGGAACAAAGTAAAGTCCTCGATCAGGTCAAACCCTTCCCGGTTATTCATCGTTCTATTCATTGCATTATTCGTTTGAGCCGATTCGAAAAATTTAGATTTGATTGTTCTTTACTTTTTTCGGTACTCTCTACGGTAGAGTTCATGAGCTCACGAAAAAAGTAAAGCCCTCAGTCAAGTGAAACCCTTCCCGGTTATTCATCATTCAATTCTTCTTTCGAGCCGATTAGATAAATTAGGTTTGATTGTTCTTCACTTCTTTTAGTACTATCCACTGTTAGAGTTCATGAGCTCACGAAAAGAAGTAAAGCCCTCGATCAGGTAAAACCCTTCCCAGTTATTCATCATTCAATTCATTGCATTCTTCTTTCGAGCCGATTTGAAAAATTTAGGTTTGATTTTTCTGTGTAAGTCGATTCTCACAATACTCTCCACAGTTAGAGTTCATAAGCTCACGGAGAGAAGTAAAGCCCTCAATCAAATCCAACCCTTCTCGATCATTCATTATTCAATATACTGCATTCTTCTTTCGAGCAAATAGCTTTTAGTCATCTAACCCGTCCCATTATTACGACCTACAAAAATAGGTAAAAAAGAGTCAAATGCAAAAATCGAAAAACGCTATATATATATATGTGTGTGTGTGTGTATATATACCTAGATATATGTAAGTACGTATAAATATATACGTATTGTCGTGTATATTGCTATTTATTTTCACTTAAAATCTAAAATAAAAAATTTAAAATAAATAAACAAAAAATTATATCACTCACATTTTCTCTATTTTGAGAATTTATAAATATTATCAATGACATAATTATCTCTTTTAAAATAAATAAAATTCGAAATTAATATTTATATAAAAATATAAAAAACTAAGTTCATAACTTTAAATTATTAACCCATTAAAGGCATTAAATATATAAATTTTATTATATTAAATTAGTATATAAGCACTCGAAGATAGAATAATATTTTTATAAATTTTAGTGAAAAAAAAATACATTTATATTTTAAAATATCCTTGATTGAAGCATTTAAATATTTAAAGTATTTTAATTTTTAAATAAGAAAGGCTTAAAATGAAAAAATGAAGGAATTTAATAGCAAGTCTTGGGGATTTGAGTTATGGTGTGGTGTCTTATTGCGGTGCTTATGTGTGTGAGGCGAGGCATAATGATGTTACAGGTGGAGTTTTTTTGAGTGAGGGCAGATTTCCTTTGCAGCGGGTTTTGTGGAAGTGAATAGCATCATAGCTTAAAGCCAAATTTAAATTCCAATTCAAACCAACCTTATAACTTTGGATAATTTTATAGATCGTGACAAAATATTATTTGACCAAACATTTTAATATAATGTTCTACAATCATTTTCAAACTTATTTTACTTTATGCTAAATTAATATAAATATTTTCCAATTTTATATTTTATTTAAAAAAATATTCTTATACCTTTAAGACTTTCCGTCTTTAAATATATATTATTAAAAAAATTATAGATAGTTTAACTTTTAAAATTTCAATAATACCCTTCAATTTTTTAAAAAATTTAAAAATATATTTACCGTTAAAAAAAATATTGAAAATTTTAGAAGCTGGGTCAACAACCTTTTATCTCTATAAAAAAAAAATTATGATGAAAATAGTCTAATCAGCACCTCGTAGATTATCTCCAAACTTCTTAATATTACTTTTAAAATTTAATGAATATTATTTGAAAGGGCGTTTTTGAAGTTTTTAAATTATTCTTTAAGGGTAAAAATAAAATTTTTGAAAATGAAAGTTTAATAGTATTCTTTGAAAGGATGTTTTTGAAGTTTTAAATTTTTTTTTTAGGGTAATAATAAAAAATTTTAAAATTAAAGTTATTTTTTACTGTATTTCATGAAATAATTTTGAAAGTTAAATTATATTTTTAAAATCATTTTAAATATTTAAGACTATTTTTTAAATAAAGTATTAATGGTTTTGGTCCGTATTTTTGAAAATTTTAAAATATTTAAAGGTACTTTAAATTTTTAAGAATATTTTTATTAATCTAGTTTTTTTTTTTTTTTTTTTTTTTTTTTTTTTTTTTT